GTGGGGGCACCCGCCGGCGGCGCGGCCATGAAGCTGAAGTTAAAGAACGTATTCCTTGTCTACTTCCTGGTGTCGATCGCTGGCCTGCTCTACGCGCTGGTGCAGCTGGGTGAGCAGGGCGGGAGGACGTCTCTCCGTGCCGCGCGACCCCTCCTGCGGCTCGGCATGGTTCCCGTGACCCCGTCACGTGCCCTCTCGGACTGTCCGCGTCTTCGCGGGCGTGGGGTGATTTGTCCCCGCCGTACCCCAGGCACTTGGGCAGTGTCCCCGGGAGCGGGCGATAGACGCCCGCCTCACGCCGGCCCAGGGTCTCTGAGCACGGCCAGGGAGTTCCTGCGCAGGGTGACTGTTCTAGCCGTGTGACACCAACCCAGTCCGGCGTGCATACTTTGTTCCCTTACGAGTCCAGAGCTGAAGTGAGGACCGACCAGGGGGAAAGATGGACGCAGTCAGCTCAATATCCAGATAAAAACTCCCGGGGTAGGGGTGCAGCACGGTGCTGAGCTGTTACTTGGCATGTGCGAGACTCTGGGTTTCACCCCCAGTTCTGCAAAAAGAAAAGTATGGCATACATTAGAGATGGAGAGAAGGTGCTGTTGAGGCAGCTCATCGAGAACGCTAGAGGTGCAGACAGGCAGAGAGAAGTGCAAGGGGAGCCTGGGTGGGCTCAGGTTAAATGGCTGGGCTGCGAACAGTCTGTGGTTCTCTGCCCCCACCCCTTTCCCTATCACTGCTTCCTGGGACCAGGCCAGCCCTGTGACTGCCTCCCTGCCCTGCGAGCAGCGGCGGAGCAGCTCCGCCAGAAGGACCTGAGGATTTCTCAACTGCAGGCTGATCTCCACCGGCCGCCTGCTGTCCCTGCCCAGCCCCCTGAACCTGAGGTCCTGCCTACCATCTATGTCATTACCCCCACCTATGCCAGGTATGAGCACTGGGCACCTGGGAGGACCGCATCCTCCCAGAAATCAGGGTTGGTGATGAATTTGGGAAGCACTGGACTTACTAAACTACAGCATGCCAAACGATGGGATAGATGAGGGCTGGGCTTTAGCTCAGTGGTTCTGCCTCCTGCCTCACAAGTGCAAGGTCCTGAGTTTGATCCCCAGTACCAAAAAAAAAAAAAAAAAAAAAAAAA